CCTTTGTCACCGGTTCTGTTCATTATTTTCATGGACAGAATTTCTAGGCGCAGCCAGGTGTCGGGTGGGGTCCAGTTCGGTAGCCACCGGATTTCATCTCTGCTTTTTGCAGATGATGTGGTGTTGTTGGCTTCTTCGAACCAGGACCTGCAGCATGCACTGGGGCGGTTTGCAGTAGAGTGTAACGCAGCTGGGATGAAAATTAGCACCTCTAAGTCCGAGGCCATGGTTCTCGACCGGAAAAAGGTGGTATGCACCCTTCGGGTCGGGGATGAAGTCCTGCCTCAGGTGGAGGAGTTCAAATATCTGGGGGTCTTGTTCACGAGTGACGGTAGAATCGAGCGTGAGATTGACAGGCGGATCGGTGCTGCGGCCGCAGTAATGCGGTCGCTGTATCGGTCCGTTGTGGTGAAGAAGGAGCTGAGCCGAAAAGCGAAGCTCTCAATTTACCGGTCAATCTACGTTCCTACCCTCACCTATGGTCATGAGTTGTGGGTCATGACCGAAAGAACGAGATCAAGGATTCAAGCGGCTGAAATGAGCTTTCTCCGCAGGGTGGCAGAGCGCTCCCTTAGAGATAGGGTGAGGAGCTCTGTCACGCGGGAGGAGCTCGAAGTAGAGCCGCTGCTCCTCCACATCGAGAGGAGTCAGCTGAGGTGGCTTGGGCATTTACATCGCATGCCCCCCGGACGCCTCCCTCGGGAGGTGCTCGGGTGCCGTCCCTCTGGGAAGAGACCTAGGGGAAGACCTAGGACACGCTGGAGCGACTACGTCGCTCGGCTGGCCTGGGAACGCCTTGGGGTCCCCCCAGAAGAGCTAGAGGAAGTATCGAGGGAGAGGGAAGTCTGGGTGTCCCTGCTCAGACTGTTGCCCCCGCGACCCGGCCCCGGATAAGCGGTTGAAGATGGATGGATGGATGGATGGACACTCAATCACACACATTGGTCTGTGTTTTGTCACTTATCTGAGCGCAATTTTAATCCTATCCAAAACAGCCTTCCTTTCAGTCAGGACCTGAAAAATGTCCCCACAAAGTACCGTGTCCCCACATCCCTGGTACATCTGCATGAAAATGTCAGGCAAACATCAGACAGACACACACACACACTCACTCTGGGTTCACAGCGTGTTTCATAATTGTATTCAGCCTCTATTGTTATTGCAGTATAATAACGGCATTGTAATAGGTTCCGTTCAACTGCTCCACTGTTATAGTCTTCAGGTTAACAAGTAAAAATACCTGAAGAGAAAACACTGAAAACATGGAACACTTTTTTTTTTTCACAGGTCAGCTTGTTTTGGAAAGAAGACATTTTTTTTGTTAGCAAAAACAGTGATTCCCAACCAGTGCGCTGTGGCACAATAGTGTGCTGTGGAAAATTATCCACTTTCACTTAACTGGGCTGAAAACTATTATTTATTTATTGCATATAATTTTGCTTTACTCGTCAAAGCAGGAAAGGCAGAACAATTAAATACTCTTTTGCTAGATGGCAGCAGATGGCCATGAAAACTAAACAAAATGATAATCAGAGCTGTTGAAGAAGATGCAGTGTTTTTGTCAATTATGAGGTCATTTAAACTAGAAGATTATTCTATTTTATTACATAGACTTTTTGTCAGATTTTTGTTTGGTGGTGTGTCGTGGGGTTTTTCCTGATGATACAGTATGTCACAAAAGTGAGTACACCCCTCACATTTCTGCAGAGATTTCATTATAATGTTTAATTGAACAACACTGAAGAAACATCGCTTTGACACAATGAAAAGTAGTCTGTGTAAAGCTTATATAGCAGTGTAAATTTATTTTTCCCCTCAAAAAAAACTCAAAATATAGCCATTAGTAGCTAAACCCCTGGCAACAAAAGTGAGTACACCCTAAAGTGAAAGTTCCTGAAGTGTCAATATTTTGTGTGGCCACCATGATTTTGCAGAACCGCCTTAATCCTCCTGGGCATGGATTTCACCAGA